GTTTCTTCTAATATTCTGACCTACCATCATAAAATTAAGAGTTCCGAGTTGAAATTTGTAAACCCCAGCATTACATTAACGTGGGTGAACATGAGTTCTAGATAATGTATAATATGAACCAAATTCACTATGAAAATTGTACCAAAGGAAAGAGTTCCATTTCTTGAAAGGATTTATTTGAGAGTGAAAAAATACTAAATTTCAAATGATTATTTAATATTCTACTTTGAAAAATTATCACACTCATTCGCAAAGAATGTTTTGATTCCATCAACAAAGTTAGTTATAATCTTTTAATTTTATTTTTAGAGTAAAAAAATAACACCATGTATTTTTTATAACGTAAAAACGTTAGTGTTTAAGACGAACCTTTTCCACATGTCGCTGCTAATGGACGTTGGTGCAAAACCAAAGCATAAAAACAAGAGATTGAAAAGTGGAAAAGGTGGGTAGCAACCAGAAAATCTAATTACAACCGGCCACATATTTGCCACTCACTGCTTAGCCAACGGGCTACACAGTTACACCCGCCCAGCAAGTTTCATAAGTACGTGCATGAATGAAAAAGTTGGCCCCGTCCCCATCCCATCCCGCCAAGACAACATATATGTAAATTTTCGTTGTGGCTTTGGAAACCACTCAAAAGCCTGATCAATGCTTTTCAGATTCATGTCTAAATAATCTAGATTATGTAAAATTACTAAGGGGAAGAAGAAAAATACATAAGGAAAACATTCTGATTAATAAGGGATTAGGTTTAATCGATTTTTTGTTTAAAAAATTTTAAATTTGAATAATAATCATCTTCGTACGTTGGCATTGTTCAAAATGTTTACTCATTACTCGTTAGCAAGAGAAGAAACCTACATATCTACGCTCGGACTTTGGAATAAAATTTTTTATTATAAAAAAATTTTCTTAAATTTGTAACAAGTACAAAATTCCACAACTTAAATGATTGACGCGACGATTCATCAACAAAGTCAAAAAAACATTTTAAGTTTCTTACCTATTAATAGTATTTCTCGAATACATATTAATATTATTTTTAATTTAATTGATTTATATAATTAATCTTAAAAATTATATTAATTCAAATTACTAACACCTAATTTTTTTTTATCTTCAATTCAAATTATAACTTCTTTTTATAGAAAAAAAAATTCCTTTTTATTTTGATAATTTCAATTAATTATTAAATGTAACTCGTTCTTTTCATTTGTTTCATTAAATAAAACTCGTCGAGGAACGCTGAACCAGTCTATTAAATTAAAATCAGAGAAATTGTACCATTCATATTTAATCCTATTCTAAAAAGTTTGTCAACTTCTGGGTGCAGTTGGCACAGGTTTCTCCATTTTAAAGCTGAATAATAATAAAGGTTAGGTTTTTTTGTACGGAAAAAGAAATTTATCATCTGCAAAGAAAAGAGCAAGAGACATAATTAATAGCTTGGTCTTTAATTGATTGGATAATGATATTTGACCTTAAGAAACAAGGCAATTAAAGATAAATGCAGAAGTGAACTTAACGTGACAAGCATTATAATGTGAAAAAAAGAGGTATAGCATAGCATTTAAGCATGACAACAATGACCTTAAAGTGCCATCGCTCGTCATCTAGAAATTTCAACATAGCATATAGCAGCCTTTCAATAACAATGAGCGACAATTGACAAAAGCAATGTTAGATTTCTAGTCTGGCCAGCAACCCCAGCGTTACGTTATTTCGACTTTTCTTGGTGGTCAGGACCGGGTATAAATCTTCTAGACTCTAGTTATACGTGCTGATGCCACCGCTTCATCACGAAATGAGTCAGTGACGGCAGAGCAGTCTAAAGAGTATGGTACCGGCACTGTTCTGCCACAACTCTCCCTCATCCAGAAACCGTAAAAGCATAAAATCAATTGCAAATGCCCCATTAATTTCATGATCAATTCAAATTCATTTCAAGGTTAAAATTACCTTTCATCATAACACACTAGATACCATTTACAGCATGGCTGCTGTGTGAAACGTTCAATTTTAACAACTGCGAACAAAGCTGCCTTCGGCCCCAATTCATTGGCAAGCATATTGATCAACCGAGTACACTTACTTAAAGCCCAAAGGCCGAAGCAGAACCGAAAGAAACTACGGGCTTAATTTCCTTTAATACTAGTTGAGAGAGGGGAGAAACAAACTTGTGATTTGTGAATCTAATTTGGCAATCGTGCAGTGTTAGTATGATGTAATTTATACGTTTCCATCAAGCCCAGCCAAGCAACAAAACCTGTGTTTTCAGTTCCAATAATCATTTCGATGAGTTGAACGAATCTAAACCTACCCCGATTCTGAAATAATGCAAGAATGTTTCATCTTATGAGTTCTGAGCCACAGGGAAACGGAAAATATATTAAAAAATTTTGAAATTAATACAATTTCTCAAACTAGTTAGCATTTTCCAACTAAGTTCCCAGGAGAGTCGTATAAAAGGAACAGATATCACTGCCAAACCTCTTAATGCTCACAATAATGCATATGTATGTATGCCTGTGTGTGCATTTTTAAAGAATAATCATTATTAAGGAAAGAAAAGGAAATTGGTAGAGAACACAGAAAATAGACAAAATGGACTTACTTGATTCATCTAGATCAATTTATATAAAGGTATTATAGTATTTAATACTTGGAGAATGGAGATCACCACCTCAAAGAATCAAGATGGTATCATAACTTAATCAAAGTACTGTCTTCGTATTATCACATGGTAGTATAGGGGAAAATTGAATTACCATCAAAAGAATTGTGGGATAGCCAACATTGCTCCTCTGCCCCCAAAGGATTTCTCTATTCCACCCAATTATGATCTACCAAAGAAAGAAGGGAGACAAAAAATATTTTTAAGAGGTGAAGTGATTAAAAAAAAATGCGGCAAAATAAAAGGATATAATGAGGAAGTGACTGATAAAGTGCCAATGGCTAGGGCCACACTCTTGACAGCATGAAATAGCAATACAGTGATAACAATGAAAGTAGTTTGAAAGGTGGCTGCAGCATTTAGTAGTGCTATTGTGCATTGTACCAATAAATAAGAGTTGATATCGTGATGGTGCTAAAAAGGAAAATAGTTATAAAGTTAGTTTACTATCAGATACACTACCCAAAAACCATTGAATTCGAATGTCAAGAATTCATGATAACAGATCAAACATTCATTTTTCCCCCAGAAAGTCCCTCAGACTGTCATAATGCATTACAAACATCAAACCATTTACAAAACTGTTGAGATTGTCTTGAGTTAGTCTCCACATCAATGTAGATTCTTTTGCACTTCCTCTGTGTTTATACTTTTATCGAGAAGTTTTACTAGCATAGGTTGCGATAACGGTATAATCTTTTTCACCATGCCTTTCTCACTTCACTCCCTGCAGAATATTTAAAAAGGATTAGCCTTAGACATAACCGTAATTCCCTAAATATATCCCACATTGCCTGGAAGCTAGATCTACCTAAAAATTGCAGATACCCCACATAGACAATAACATTTCATTGAACTTACAAAAAGTATGCAAGGAACATTAGTCTGCTAAAGCATTTCTAATGAAAAATGCACATAAATTTATGAAAATCTCCTCAACATTATCTAATGGTTTGGCATCAGAGTTTAAAGTATTTGAAACATAAATATATCCAACCCAGTCCCCATCCAACAGTGAAAAATATATAAAACCTCGTACATTGTCAGATTAAAATTTAACTTAAACATACCTTAGCTTAGCAGCCTATTCGAAACAACACCCAATTGTCACTGCTACAAAATTCGACAAAAATTATGCAACCAAATTGCCATATCACGTCTGTAATTGGGCACCGGAGCCCAGAAACTGACTCGCTCTATAATTAGCCACACTAAATTCGCATTCTCCCAACTTATCTAACCCAATTAAATGGCACCAGTTGCTTTCCAACGGTATCGACGCCACGTGCACCATCCTCCCGACCACTTTGATCTTTACCTCCATCTCCCCCACTGCAATTCTCGCGTCCAAAAACGGCATAATACATCTTTCCTTAGCGAAGCTGATACATTTTTCCTTGGCGGCGATCAAACAACGATCTTCGCAGCGCTCTCTCTCCTTTAATTTAATTGATTTCCAGCCAATCAGAGATTGCCACCAAGGGGGTTTACACTTGTTGGACGCGGTGATGGCGCACCCAATTCTGGGGCTTCCTCTCATTGAGATATGATTTTGGACTACGGCCCAAGAAGGAAGGTATGTGAAGGAAAAGATGTATGGACTGGACGGGGGTCGTCAGAAGGCCCTGCAGAGATTGGGCCTTGGGACAAAAGGGTTGGGGCAGTCGAATTTTAAGATTGTTGAGGAATTGGAGTGTCCCTCCAGGTTTTGGCGTAAGGAAGGGTCCATGTCTTCCACCGTCCAGACCGATGGATGAAGACCGAAGTGGCGACTACTTATTAAGACCTGATGTCCAGTGATAAAAGGGCGCGGCGGAATTCCCTCTAACTACCAATTCAAAAGAAATATTAGTTATTGAGCATAAAATTGAGGAGCATTCAACTACAATTCGATCATAATCTTTAACCTATTAAAGGAATTATTTGAATCCAAATTTTGTGTGCTTAATGACATCCCCAAAGGTAATAAACCAAATACTTTGCCTTTTTAAGTGTTGGGACAAATCATTAAATCGTAGCCACAACCTCAAAACTCATTTTCATTTATTTTGATTATGATGAACTTCTCAAATCATTTTTACTTTTACCAAATTTTTCCAGTCAAAATTTGTGACCACCAAATTAATTTAAGATATGCCGCAAAGTTGCATTTTTTTTCAAAGCACTGAGTATTGTCTGGATTTTTTCATCTTACGATTATTATATTAAGTTGCCCTATATCAATTATGTCGTTTCTCTTACTTGGTGTTGATCGATGTTTCGAATATAAACATCGGTCGATTATGTTCAATTTAACACTTTTCCTTTTGTATATCTGAAAATTGTCTAATTGTATATCATTGATCGTACTCTAATAACTATGCTTACAATTATTTGCAGTACGGCTCAAGCTGCCCATGAAGGGGGGGAAATATGTCCAACAAAGAAAAAGAAAAAAAAAAAAGGTGCATAATAACAATAATTCCAAGTTGAGTTGAGTTAAGTTTGAGGTTTGCATTCATTTTCAAAAGGCCATCATCATCCTTGCAAACTCCTCATAGCTGACTAGTCCATCACCATCTAAGTCGGCTTCTCTGATCATCTGTTCTGCTTCTTCCATTGTTAGTCTTTCTCCCAGATTCATCATTACTTGTCTCAACTGCAATCCAAGTGTTTAAGTAAATGGATTCAGATTAATTTCCCCACGTTTAAATGATGAATTTGTAGTCAGATGAGAGGGGAAAAAAGGCAAGAAAACAAAAAATTTCTGGCCAATTTGGAAAATATCAGCCATATATTATATATCAAAACTTAGAAGCAGATCGTTGAGATCATCTGCTGAGACAAAGGAGTGCAGTACATCGCACCAGCCCATTTCTGAATGTGATTAAAGACACTCCCATATGTAGGAGAAAAGTAAACCAGAAAAGCCTCTTTAAATCAATGTGAAGCCAAAAATTTGCGTGCTGTCAAGCTCATATGACGACTGAGGAGATCAAATCAGGGCAAACATAGGCGAGAAAACCGATGTTATTAAACTTTTTTATTTTGGGTCAGAGAAGTAGTATTAGACTTTTAAGACTCGTTCAAACTTCACATACCCTGGGGAATTAAAGACCGGGGAGGAAACAAAGAGTGAAAACGGTGTTGAAACTTGATAATGAGTTGACAAATAACAGAATCAAAGCCCTACTTTGATCTAATTGGCAGTCCAGTCAATTTCTTCCATTAATAGCACCGATTTTAAAATTGTTAATTTGAAATTACGTTTAATCCAAATGTTAGCAGGCTTATTTTTTACCTCATCTGCTGAAATAAATCCATCTTGATCTCTGTCGAATACTTTGAAAGCTTCTTTTAGTTCATCGGCCACATTATCCTGTGAGATTCATGTTTGCATCATTCTCCACTCTTAAGAAAACAATGAGCAAAACATACATGATAAACAGAAGAAAATATGAGCACTAACTCTTTTCTATTAAACGGTTTAATTACCTTCATTTTTCTTGTCATAATATTTAAGAATTCTTCAAAATCAATGGTCCCATTTCCTTCAACATCGACCTCACTTATCATGTCTTGAACTTCTTCTTTTGTAGGGTTTCCATCTAATGTCTGGATCACTGATGCCAAATCTTCCATGGTAATGAAACCTGCATTTTTAGATCAATGTATATGTTCAAAGAAGAGTGGGGGATGCTTAAGAAATGGGAACTTAATCCTGCTAACTATGAAAAAAAAAAAAAGAGCAGAAAATTAAAGCACATACCATCTGAATCTTTATCAATCAGGTAGAAGGCTTCGCGAAACTCAGCAACTTGATCTTCTGTCAATGTATCTGCCATTTTGGTTTCAGCTTACTTTGGAGCCGGTTTCTCTGTGATGTATGAATAACAAACAAAGAAATATAGAATGCTAAAGGTTGTCGTGCTGCCTTCTATGTAAAATATCACACATAAATAAGAAGTAGGTAAGGAATTGCAAGCCAAACTGATTGGAAATAGTCAAACACGCTTGAGTTTGAATTCCATTCAAAGCAAGAAAATTTTTAGAAAATTAATGAGGCTTTGAATCAACTCCCAAAAATGGGGTTTAAATTTTCAACGAAACTCTTTGTCAACGAAACTCTTTGTCCTGAACTTGGCATCCCATCTCGAAGTCAGCTAGACCATGACTTCATCTTAATTAGTACATTTATTTTTATTCAAGTAGATGGACACAATCATCTTTGATCAAGTAATAATAAGATAAAAAAAAAACTCCAACATTCTTTTTTTCTAAAAATAATATTCGAACATTTTTAATTCGATGATTTTGTTATGTTTTATCTTTTCCTTCATTTTCGAACATATATTAAAAAAAAAAAAGTGATTCAACTATTAATTCTGGTCAAAGGGAGCATAGTATAAAGATTTTTCTAGCATCTCATTTCGACGGATGATTTCCATTTCCTTTACAAAGATTGAAATAATGGGCATTCAATGGAGCGGTCTGATTAATTTATGCAAATCATGAATCGCAAAAGCCTTTTTTCAAGTGTTTTGGTGGACTGACTGTCGTAGAATTGAATTCTATCGGCCATCACCATCTATCATGTGGGTGGAAAAATAAAAATTCTTTAATGCTAAGGCTAAGCTTGTTCCTTTGATTTTTCTATTTTTATTCGTTCAACTTTTTTTTTTTCTTTTAACTTTCTTTAATTACGCGTTTCAAACAAGAATACCTTTCTAGACGCTATACAACTTACAAAAGGCTCTTTTTTTTATTCTTTTTCTTCTTTTTATTATTAAACAATTTAATTTTAGACTATTTGTTTTTATTTTTTATCCTGGCTCTAATTTTCACAGGAAGGAGAGGAGTGTGATAGCTCACTGCATCTGAAATTGGATAACTATATTCCAATGTATTGATTTTTACTTTAATTTTACTCTTATATATTTACCCTCATCCAACCTGCACCGTCTAAAACGTGTTCATGTTTTTTGTTGAATATTTTTTCATAATTTGAATTATCAAATAAAGTATAGAGTATGCCTAAAATTTTTTATTAATATAGAATATTTTTAAATTAATATATTTATTTATAGATACATTACTTTTAATTTTTAATAAAATTATTATTGATATAAAAATAATTATAGTATATTTTAATTAATTATTAACCCATAAATATAAAAAATATATTAAAAATTTCATTATATATAAACTTTAATTTAATGCTTTTAATTATTATTTTATTTTTATAAAAAAACCGTTGTTTAATAATAAAAATATAAATTATAAATATTAAAATTTGAATTTTAAATTTACATGATATCATCTTTTAAATAAAATATCAAAATTAATTAAATTAAAATTTAATTTTTATCATTTTATTTTCACAATTCTTTACTTTACTGACATTTTTATTTTTTATTCAAACATATTTTATCATTAATTTTAATATAATTACTATAATAATAAATTTTACATTTACTATTATTTTTAATATGGCCTTTCATTCAAAGAAAATACATATAGGTCTAAAGCCTTCCTTTCCATTCCACAAAAGCTGTCGCCATCCAGGACCACACCGAGGCTGCATATAAGTGGGCTTGGACCAAGTTTTAACTTTTAACTATTTATGATAAACTCGGTCCAAATTATTAGTACTAATACCTAGAGATTATCACATAAAATTTTTTATTATATTAAAACATCACATTAATTTTTTTAATATATTAAAATAGTACCATAAGAAACCAAAAATATCACATTAATGATCAATTATTATATTTGATACACAAATATCATGCATTAAAAAAAAACACAAAATATTATTATAAAATAATATTAATTAATTTAAAACATTTTTAAGTAGTCGATTAACACATTTTAAGATAGTAATTTCCTATATACTCTACTTATGAAAAATATAATTTATTAATATAATACCACTACTATATATTATATCGCAATTAACGCTAATAAAAGAGTCTAGATAAATTATTCAAGATTCAAACTGTATTAAAAGTATTATTGTTTTTTTTTCTTTAGGCATACAATGTATTTAAACAAATTTGATTAGATCAAATTTGATTAATAAATGTTATTTTTAGGGTGTGTTTGGTTAAGAGATTCTTAAATTTTTAAAGAAAAAGTGATTTTGAGAAAAGTGATATTTAAAAAGAATGTTGTATTTGGTTTACAAAAATATAAGATTATTTAATAAAATATTTTATTATATTATATTATATTTTATAACATATAAATAACATGTAATATTTATAATATTGATACGTGAATAACACATAATACGTAAATAATATATTATTTTCGTTGAAACTAAATAAATTTTTAAAATAATTTTGTTATATTTTTAACAAATATAATTTTATAATTCTAATTACTATCTTATTAATATTATCAGCGTGAAAAGAAAAAGCAAATCATTTTTTTGTATTTATAATAATATTAAATAAAAATATATTATATTATATTTTTAATGTTTTCAATAAAGATTATATTTTTTATATTAAAAAAATTATATTTTTACCAAAAATTACGTTTTTATATTTAAAAACGTATTTTTTATTGAATTATAAAAAAATATTTTTATGTTTTAAAAAATATGACGTTTTTATTTGAAAAAACGTTATTTTTTCATGGAATACTATATTTTTATTTAAAAATTTTTTTATTTAATTTTGAAAATTATAATTTTTATATTTTTAACAAAAAATACGTGTTTTATTTTAGAACTGTTGTTTTCTTTTTTTACCTTGGAAAATATATTATTTTATATTTTAACAAAAATTATATTTTTCTCTTAAAAACATAATATTTTCAATAAATATTATATTTTTTATATTAAAAATATCATTTTTATTGAATTTTGAAAAATAGTTTTTCATCATTACAACAAATACTATGTTTTTATCTTAAAAATATTATCCTTTTAATAAAAACTATTTTTTCAAATTTAAAAACTTCATTTTTGTTAATTTTTAAATTTTTTTTTCATATTTTTAACGAAATAATGTTTTATTTAAAAAATATTAGTTTTATTTAATTATAAATTTTTTTATATCTTCAATAAAAATCATGTTTTTAATTATAATTTTTGTGAGAATTTCAATAGTATTATATTAAAAACGTGATATTTATTTAAAATATTTTAAGAAAAATTTTTATAATATTTTATAAAAAATTATTACTTTTTAAGATAAATAACATTATTTATATAATTTAAAAATACAATTAAATGAGAATAAATGTGAAAAAAATTATTTTCTTTTTAAAATCTTAAAAAATCTCAAGAAGGGAAGAGTTTTTATTCCTTCTATTTTCATGCTTCTTTACATTATTGAAAATCTTAAAAAACTCTAATAATCATGTTCTCATAAATCAAATTAAAGAATTAAATTACAAAAATAAATTTTGAAGAAAGAACCTTTCAATCAAACGTCTCTTTATAGTTATCGTTTTTTTTTTTTTAGTTTGAACTCAAGTGAAATAATTATAGTTATGTGGCCGTAACCTAATATGGCCGTAATCTAATAAATTTAGATTCAAATTTTATTAATTAAATAATATATATATTTTAATTTCTTGGTATGAAGCCGAGAAAAAGACAGGAGAAGAGACCAAACTTAAATCTAGAATATTTACGAAACTGGCATTTCCCGATAAAGGACAAAGAAAAAGAAAAAATCAAAATGAAATTAAGTGCTAGATGCCTAGACTTAGGTCAAATTTCTCAACAAAGGAGCGAGCAGCCAGCCGGGCGCTAACGCTCTCTTCGGCGAACCAGTAATTATCGTCGCCATTTTCGGCTTCACTCACTCGAGTTGCGGCTCGTCTCACCGTGTTGCCTCTTTTCAATCTATGTAACCTTTTTCTTTCTGGGCTTTTTCTTTTTTTCAGTATCAATTCGATCCATTTTTTGTATTCTGAACAGTAAATAGATATATTTTCTATTACGAGTTCAGCATTTTAGTTAAATTTCAAGCTTCTTTTCCCCTAAAACAGAAAAGAAAGAGTTTGAACAGTCATAGTTAGGGTTTAGGGTTTTGTGGTTTCCTTTTTTTTTTTGTCGCGGTACGCTAAAATAAATTCTTAAACGATACATTAGTTGTAATTTAGATTGTTTTCATAAAAATGAGGAAGTGAATGCGTATCCTTTCGTAGATTTCAACGTTGGGCACGTAGCATTGGTTTGTTTTAGAGGAGATAGATCGTCTGTAGCTTGCTAGGTATTTGGCGATTGAATCTGTGTTTCTTTGTTCGTAGAGTAATTAACTAAATGAAAAACAGTTTTGTTGTTGGTACTGAAGATGTGCTTGGAAGTTTCCAATGCGTTAAATTTTAAGGCTCCTTTTAAGTCTATGGGCAATGTTAATCTCAAAATTATTGAAAGCATAATGCTTGAAGATTGTGAATGTTTGGTATGTGAGAATGAAGTAAAATTTGATGTGCCCCTCACGTCATAAAATGGAGGACTTTGTATTATGTATTAGTCTATTAAACTAGTTTATGTACCAACTTTGAGATGTTATTTCGGCATTTTGTAGTTTGACGAGAAATGAGTAAGAAAAAGAACCCTTTGGTATTCTTAGATGTTTCAATTGGTGGAGATTCGGTGGAAAGAATTGTTATTGAGGTAACCCTAAAGCCAACCACCTGAATTTTGTTTGATTTTTGTTTTCTATATTCTTTCCTGTAAGAAATTTGGAACTCACCTGAAAGGCTGAGACTAACACTTAACAGTAAGGATAAAGTTTTTTATTTCCCCAAATTGACAGCTTTTTGCAGCTGTTGTTCCTAAGACAGCTGATAATTTCCGGGCACTCTGTACAGGTATCCCTGAAAATTTTCAAAATTTACTATATGATTACAATTTATCTGTGAGGCTGCCGTGGTTTTGTTGAATTTGTGCTTACACTGATTGTCATCTTTTTGTTACTGTGCATCAGTGTTGATGAACACATTATCAATCATTTGCTTGAGGTCTTTATAGTTTCCTTACAATGTCTCCTGTATTGTGTTCTATAGATACTATTAGCTTTATAGGTGGGATGGTGATCTAAGAAGGGAGTGAATTAGATCTCTTCAAATTCTTCCTAAACAATGATTTCAAAGTAATTGAATAGAAAATTAAAAACAATATCAAAAAATGATGTAAATAATAATAAATTGATAATCTTAAACCAAATGCAAGGTAAAGAGATAGGGATAGAAAAATTAAACACAAGGATTTACGGAGGTTGGGTAATTCTCCACAAGGTACCTATGTCCTCAATTCTTGGTTGTCCACACTAAGGCTACAATCCACTAATCTTGAGTTGAAATTACAACTCTATATTTTTCTCTCTAAGGCTTAAGATAGAAACTTTACACTCTTTACTTTCTAGGCTAAGTAGCAACTTGTCAATCCACAAATTCAAGAGGATACCTCGACTCTTGGTTACAAAATCACTTAATAAAAATAACTTTCTTAAGTTAATCTATTTCTCAAAATCAATATTATAAAAAATGTATTAAGTGCAAAATGAATAAGTTCACATTAAAAATAACAATTGAACTTTCATTTAAGCTCAAATAAAAAAATGTTTAAAGATACTTTTGATTTGACAAATAAGAAAACATAAAGAAAGGTTTGTTTAAACTTTGAAAATCATATTATTTATTTAGTATCAAAATATAAAACTTAAGAACATGTACTAAATAAATCTTTTTCAAAATCTTGATCAAGTTTATTTAGCTTAATGTTTTGTCATTTCAAAATAAGGATAAATTAAGGCTAACAATCTCTTTCTTTTTGATATGAAAAAACTAAGTGAAAAAGTTTCTTAAAAAAACATTTTTCCATTAAAAATAAGCTCCCCATGAATTTAAGCATAAAGAAATTTTAAGAGATTTTAAAGAACCGAGAACAAGATATAACCATCAATATCAATATCATCAAATAAGAATTCTTCATACCGTCAATATCAAGATCATCAATCAAATAAGAATTTTTCTTACCATTTTTGTCATAGCAAAAAGGATGAAGTCAATCAATGTAAGATGGCAATCAATTTAAGGCAATAAGAAACTCAATATGTGTTCAAGTGCCATACCAACTCAATTCCACAACTCAAGGTCATGCAGATCTCAATGTCATATAATCATCAAGCAATATATCAATTTCACATGACATAAATTATAAGCCAATTTCAAAATAATATAGCAAATACCATGATGAAGATTAAATGTATATCTTATTAATATAAACAACAAATACCAAAGTTTAAGAAGAAAACATAATGTAAAGTGTTTTTAAGGAAAAATTAAAACATGAAAAGATAAATATGTGAGAAAACATCTGAGGGATGTCATCACGATGGATTATTGAGGAGTAGGATAAGGATAAGGAAAATGAGGAAAGTGCTGCCCCATTTGCTGTTGTGCATTCCAGATGTGTTCAATATCAGCCCTAACTTGTTAAACTTGTGAAACCAGCTTATTTTGACTCATTTTCATGTTTTTCAATCTAGAATTCATGTTTCCAACCATTGAGTGTAGATTGTTCATTTGAATTATAAGCATTTACAAAGCTCTTTAGGTGTAAAAAGTTAGGGTAGAAGGTTTTCTTTGAGATGCATCAAGAATATCTAAGATATCATGCTCTTTTTCTCTTCTTGCGTAGCCCAACTTCAGTTTTTCTAACCCACAAACCAGCTGCATTTTGTGTATAGCCTATATTATGCAGAGTATGAGCTCCAAGAATGCTAAATAGATCATTGAACACAATCTCTTTATCATCCCTAGTGTTAACTCCCAATTTCTTCAATAGATTACTGATAGCAAACGCATAAACTAAGGTGTAATCTCTGTTTTGCACTACTCTTATCACTCATCATAAACTAAGGTGTAGTCTCATTAGAGTAGTGCAAAATTGAGACAACACTTTAGTTTATGGGTTTGCTATCAATAATCTGTTGAAGAAATTGGGAGTTAACATTAGGGTGATAAAGAGATTGTGTTCAATGATCCATTCAACATTCTTCGAGCTCATACTTCGCATAGTATGGGCTATACACAAAATGCAGTTGATTTGTAGGTTAGAAAAACTGAAGTTTGGGCTATTCAAGAAGAGAGAGAAGAGCATGATATCTCAAATATTCTTGATGCACCTCAATGGAAACTTTCTACCCCACTTTTTGACACTCAAGGAGCTTTGGAAATGCTTATACTTTAGATGAACAATCTACACTCAGTGGTTGGGAATATGAATTTTAGATTGGAAAACATGGAAATGACCCAAAATGAGTTGTTTCACAAGTTTGACAAGTTAGGGCTAATATTGAACACATCTGGAATGCATAACAACAAATGGGGCAGCACTTTCCTCATTTTTCTCACCCTCCTCCTCCTCAATGATTTATCCTGACACTTTGTATGATGTTTTCTTCTTAAACTTTGGTATTTGCTGTTTATATTAATGAAATATACATTTCATCTTCATCATGTCATTTGCTATATTACTTTGAAATTGGCTTGTAATTGATGTCATGTGAAATTGGTATATTGCTTGATGATTATATGACATTGAGATTGGTATGACCTTGAGTTGTGGAATTGAGTTGGTATGGCGCTTGAACACATATTGAGCTTTCCAACATTGAACTGGTTTTATTTTTCTATATTAATTCACGAAGCTTTAATATTTGAATTTTATATGGTTAAAAAGCTCTTTGAGTCTATTTTCTAATGGATCAAACAAAATCAAAATCCAAATTTTCTAAGAAAAGATTTTAAATTTTTATTAGATACTTTGTAGTTGTCTAAAAACTGCACAAGGGATAGTTTTAAAAATTCACTATAATTCGTACTCAATAAATTAGGTGATGAATTTTATATGGATAGAAAACTTTTTAAGTCTAGTTTCTAAATCTTCAAACGGTTTTTAATTTGGATTTGTATAACTCAAGATATGATCAAATTAGTGAGTGGAGTGCAAAATAGGAGATAACCATCTAGATTTGACAGTATTGATCCCTTCAGGGAAGTTTGTAATTTGGATTTGTATAACTCAAGATATGATCAAATTAGTGAGTAGAGTGCAAAACAGGAGATAACCATCTAGATTTGACAGTATTGATCCCCTTGGGGAAGGATCGGGTCTTGTTTTCCATGTGTGAAATGGGTAGAAAAGTGAACTAATCGATCCCCTCATGGAAGGGATCAATCAGGTATGCTTTGGAACAACTCCAACGGCTAGTTTCTCATGCTTTCAATAGCTATTTTCTTCTCCCAAGCATCCCCAATGGCTAGCTCTTCAATTTTTCTATATGTTGGCCACTCCAACATACCAAAAATGTTAGATGAATTAAAAGAGCAAGATCAAACAAGCCATATATTTATTTTCTCAAAGAAATCAAGAGTTTTAGAGCTTTAAAGTCTATATTTTTGTATTTGTTGTATCCAAATTATTGTTGTTAATTCATTCATCAAATTTCTTTATATTTTATTAGGCAAACACTTAGCCTTTGAGAGGTGTTTTAGGTTTGCATTTTTATTAAGTGATTTTGTAATCAAGAAGTGAGGTATCCTCTTGAATTTGTGGATTGAGAGGTTGCTACTTAGGCTAGAAAGTAGAGAGTGTAAGGTTTCTATCTAAGGTTTCTATCTTAAGACTTACATAAAAAAAGATAGGGTTGTAATTTCAATTCAAAATTAGTGGATTTAAGCCTTGCTGTGGACAACCAAGAAGAGAAGATGTAGGTGCCTTTTATTTGATTTCTCTATCCCTATCTCTTCTTTATCTTGCATTTGGTTTAAGATTATTAATTTATTGTTATTTGCATATTTTTTGATATTGTTTTGAATTTTCCATTCAATTACTTTGAAATCATTGTTTGGGAAGAATTTGGAGAGATCCAATTCGCCTCTATCTTGGATTACCATCTCACCTATAAAGCTAACAAATACATGATTTAATAAACTTGTAAATCTTTTCTTTGACTAGGACGAATCACATAAAGCCTTGCTTCAATGTTTTTCATCTGATAAACTATTTGTGTGCATTTGCTGCCAGATGAATTAAATTCGCCTTTTTTTTTCTTCAACTTTCTTTGCAAACAATTGTGTCAGGCTTTGATTATTCTGAACTGTGTCAAACTGCAGGTGAAAAGGGCATTGGCAAATGTACTGGGAAACCCTTGCACTATAAAGGATCTTTTCTTCATCGAATAATCAAAGGATTCATGGCCCAAGTATGTTCTCATTATTTCTATAAATTGTTTTAATAATCTGAGGAATGTTTGCTATGCGGATTTTTCCTTCTTTTTTTTTTCCTACTTTTTGTACTGACGTCTTACTACTAATGCAATGTTTAAGTTTTAAGGAGTTATAGTTTTAGTTGGCTTCAGATTTTCCAGTTTCTATTCTAATATTTTATTTCTGCCAATAGAATGCTGATTTCTCATCTCTGCCGTGTGCTAAACATGTATCGTTTGGTCTGATCTTATATAAACATTTTGAAATGACCTTTGTCCTGAAACAGGGAGGTTAGGACTTAAATTTAGTTGCCCTTTAATCATTATAAAATGTTCAAAGATCTCTAATTTAGTAATTTCTTTGCTGAATGCTAATTGATAGATCTTAGTGCTATAACCTAATCATATGAGCCTTGTTTTCAACACTTTGGTGCTTGTTTTTGCTGGTGATTGAACTGGTTAGTCTGGGTGGCTGCAAAGTGACTAAAATTCGAGAAAAAAACTTGGTACTTTTAATTTTACCTTTAAAAATATGTACCTGGCAGCACTAAAGTTGTCCTTTTTTTCTGTTTTATGTTGTTTCTACAGGGTGGTGACTTTTCAAAGGGAAATGGTATGCTCCTGCCTTCCAATGCATTAAAATTTTGTTTTATTTGTTTAAGTGAATGCAGATTCTTTGCTTGACATCTAAAAGTATGCCCAGACTTGTAAGGAAAGACCTTTAATTGGTTTGCAGGCACTGGTGGAGAAAGTATTTATGGAGGGAAGTTTGCAGGTAGGCCTTTGCATTTGAGCACTTAAGTGTCTTATGACAGGTGTTTGAAATTTAATTATCAAAGTTTATGTTTCCTTGCAGATGAGAATTTTAAACTGGCTCATGATGGACCTGGTGTTCTCTCTATGGCAAACAGTGGTCCAAACACAAATGGGTCTCAATTCTTTATAACCTTCAAGCGCCAACCCCATCTTGATGGGTATGTAACTTTTGCTTATTTGTTATTTACTTGACAAAACTGGAAAGATGAAACTTTTCTATATCATATTGCTTAGCAATGGATTTCTCATTTACTGAATGCTTTGCAGGAAGCATGTTGTTTTTGGAAAGGTAATTAAGGGAATGGATGTTTTGAAGAAAATTGAGCTAGTTGGAACAGCTGATGGAAAGGCTGCCCAATCTGTAAAAATATCAGACTGTGGTGAAACCTCTGAAAGTAAAAGTCAGTATGCTGTTGGGAAGTCAAAGGGTATTACTGTGCAGTCTTAAGTACTAATGTAGTGATTTCTGGATCAGTTACCTACTTTTCATTTGTTATTTTCACTATGGTTTATTTTTTCAGGGAAGGGGAAGAAATCAGGGAAAGTTCCTTCTTCAAACAGTTCCGACGAGCAAGCTAGAGGAAGCAAAAAGTCTTTGAAGGATAGAAGGAAAACAAGAAAGAGGAGATATTCTTCATCTGATTCATACAGCTCTGACTCTGACTCTGACTCTGGTTCCGATTCCTATTCTTCAGATTCTGATTCTGATATCTCTGCATCTGAATCAAGTTCGTCCAGTGATGGAACAAGAAGTAGGAGAAGGAGGTCAGCAAAAAGACACAAGCATCAACATGGGAAAAAGAGGAAGGATGGGCGAAGAGACATGAAAAAAAGCCGGCAAGAAAAAAGATCAAAGCGCAAATCCAAATGGTTTGATTAAAACCTGGTTTCAAGGACAATCCTCCAAAATTTTGTCTTCCTGCTTGTTATTTATTATGTTTGTTGATAGTGGTTTTATTTCAGGAGTTCAGAATCTTCAGATAGTTCAACTGACAGTGAAAGTGAGAGTACAAGCACTAGCAGTGGCAGGGATGATGGAAAGGGTGGTTCTCGTCGTGTTTCTGCTCGTACCAATCATATCACCAAACCTGTTGAAAATGAATCTCCAAACAATATTGGTATTTCCATCCATTATTGTTTTAGCCTCTATATTTTTCTCATTTTTACTTGTTTTAGGCTCTATTTTTTTTTTTCTCATTCTTTAGTCTAGCTTTCTGCACACTCTCATGCATGAGTCTAGTGGCACTTGAATTTGCGCATTGGCTTTTGACCAACACCATACTTCTTTAAATGGGGATGTTACACTTTTACCCAAATCCTTACTGTTGTCAGCAAGTCATCCACTGGTATTATTTATTAGTATAGGTAACATGCAACAAAAAATATGCCTATATGAGGGTGGGGTTGTTAATAGATTCTGCAAGCTTCTTAATATTGATACTGTGGGTATTATTAACCGCAGATTGTGATGTTACTGATGTTACAGATGTAGCAAAAAATGTGCCAAGCCAACTTTCTGGAAAAGCTGCTAATGCAGGACTACAAAGGAATAAGTTAAAGGTAACTGAGGACAACTCACATGAAGAAGGTGAATTGTCGCCAAAAAGTGATGAGCTTCTGAACGATGGTCATGGCAACAAGGCTCCTCACCAATGTACATATGTGGATGGCTTAGACGGATCAAGGTTTCTGTTCTTATCTAACTATGCTTGTGTATTTTTGGGTTATTTTTATCAATTTGACTTTCGTTTCTCTGCTAAATCCACTTTGTAATTTCATTGACAATGTTTCTTTTATCATATGCTTTGCAGGAGTGTGAGTCCAACCGTTAAACGGAGGCTAAACAACAGCCGTAGAAGCAGCCAAAGCAAGAGTCCTCCCAAGGATGATGTTAGAAGCCCTCCCAGAAAATCTGGTGGGCAGAAACAGGGAAGGACTTCATGTAGCCCCTTGAGTAGTCCTGCAAGGAAAGCCCCTGCACCTAACCAAGGGCGTATTTCCTCGAGCAGTCCATCTCCTGGTGGCAGGTCAAAACGCATAAGGAAAGGTCGTGGCTTCACTGACCGCTATTCCTTTGCACGTCGATACCGGACACCTTCTCCTGAGCGTTCCCCACCCAGATCCTACCATTATGGTAGAAAAAATATTCCAGAAAGAAACCATGATAGGTAATCTATAATTTGACTAAAATTATGCTGCTGTCCCCCCTTTTTTGAATCTCAATATCATTTTTTTGGTGAAGATATTCTAGCTATAGAAATCATTCTGATCAATCAACCCGCAGATGTTATAGAAGCCCGCCAAGAGGCCATAGTCCTCCCAGGTTCTCTCTCTGTCTCTCTCTCATGTGTATCTATGTGTACCTGTGAAAATTGTCTTGCATAACTGTAAAGTTTGTCTACTTTCAGTGCATTACACATATATTCATTCTGAGTAGAATTGTCATATGCAAGCAGCCATTGTTCTATCACTGTGTACTTGTTTTTCTATATTATTCATCACAAGGCTCAAATCTGTTTTGCATCAAGTGATCATTGCTTCATCTTGATTCATGCACACCTTTTCCAGTAGTTACATTTTGCATATAAGCTTTAATTAATCAAAAATACTTTCAGAACTAAAATATCGACTTAATTTAGACGAATTAGATATTTGCTTGTAAATTTGGGTTATAATGTATGATTTTTCCATCAAAGGGACAAATTATTAAGGAATAATCTTTATTCCATTAATTTCCATGTCAATTGACTAGTTGGTGCAGTGAGGAAAAGAATGCTAAATTTAACATCAAACTTGTAAATCACACAATGTAAAAGATAAAGGAGTAATACTATTTTATAAGCTCAAAAAAAAAAATCCTAGAAAGAAAGCCAAATTGTTAGTTAACTTTATCTTTGATATTATTTTTAAAGTTATAATTGGAAAGAACAATATAGAAAAAAAAAAAAAAAGAGGGAAAATTCTCAAATGAATATCCATATGATTTTATGAGTTATGAACTAAGCAAGTTGAAATGGGACCAACCATGTGCTTATCTAAATTTATAATCTAAAGTTTGAATATTTCAGATTTGCAATTGGTATTATTGTTTTTCCCCTATAATTTCTTTAATTTTCTTGTGAGCTAATATGTTGTATCTGACTGGGAAATAATTTATGTACTTTTCATTTGTAGATATGAACGCAGAAGTAGGAGTAGGAGTCTTTCTCGCAGCCCAGTTCATTATCGGGGAAGATATAGGGATCGTAGTCAGAGCCAGAGTCCTATTCGAAGTCCTAGTCCTAAAAAAAAACGACCTGCCATAAGCGAGGGGTTAAAATCTCGTCTTGGTTCTCGAATTGATGATCAGCGCTCCCCACGCAAAAGCAAATCAGGATTCAGGTCCTCTAGGTCAAGGAGTCATGGGTCCTCGTATTCTAGATCTCCTGATATCTCACCACCAAATGAAGGCTACAGAAAATCTCCATCTCCTAACGTGTCAAAATCAAGCTCACCCTCTGGACAGAGAGGATTGGTGTCTTATGCAGATTAAATCCATGCTTCTCTCATTAAATTTAATTGATGAGGCTTAGAAGCATGCCCAGTTGTCTTGATCGTGTTTGGTTTGCAACACAAGTGGGTAGAGTTTGGGAGGGCATGCCGTTTTGTATGCCGTTACCAATTTCAGATGTGATTAGATTGCCGGTTTAGAGTTGCAAAATAGTTCCAGTTTTCTTTGACCGGTGGCTTGGACTTCCGTTGCTTATTTGAAACAGCAAGAGACGCGTACTTGGCCATCCTTGTGCTAAGGACGTTTTGAACTCTGATATTCCTTATCTGCAGTGCAATTGTTTTCTAATGTGATTTCCAGTGTCTTCGGACGTCAAATAAGTCAACTTTGTTTCAATATGTTATCTTCTATGCGTAAATCTAAAATTTGAACTATCTGAAAATGCAGTTCAAAGATAGAAAAAAATACGAGTCACTGTTTGGTGTGGCACAAGAAAATTTTTCACTGGTCTTTTCGATTGGCAAAAACGAAACTACACGGCAAACCAATTAGAGCAACTATGATTTCAGGCAAAGGAAACTCCCGTACCCCACTGCAAAAAAAAAAAAAAAATTGTAATCTTGATGCACAAAATTAAAATCCAGAAGAATTTGGGAGATGAAAATTAAACAAGCGAAACAATTCTACATCGTCAACTTCACTTAGAAATAGCAAGGAAACGGATAATGAAAATGGCCATGCAAATGCAATCGCAAGCATTTGCCAATTATCCTCTAGTTTTGTTACAGAAAGCTAATCTGTTACATGAAAGCAAGCTTGATGACCAGAGAGTAAGAAGAGGGTAAATTAGATGATAAAAGTAGGTTCATTGGAGAAACGCAGAATGCCCATATAGCTATAAGTCATCTTACATACGATATAAGTAAAGAAAGATATGCAACTTGGAAGTGGGAGGGCAGCAGCTCCAGTCTCTCTTTAGATCGGTTGACCTTCTGGTACAATTTGATCTTTGACCCACATGTAGATAGGGACCAATACATAATACGTTGCTGCCATGGCACCCAAGATGAAGCGCAACGGAAATACAAATGGATTTACCGGCTTCGATATATCCTCTGCCTTTGGGCCAAGCTGCACAAGAATACACCGGTCATTAGAAAAAGAAAGATAAATAAAAAACAAATAAAGAGTTAAGAGTAATACAACAGAATAGAGCTCATGTCCACATGAAATGCTAAAGTTAAATCATATACAAGAAAGATTTAAATGATGATCACTTTGAGTTTGTTTGCATGAATTCATTTTCACCAGTCAGCCTCAAATGCAAAAGGATACAACATGAATTTGCGGTGAAGAATTATTTTTAATTAAAATGTCAGATTTCCTTTTTAATATGTCATGCCATGACTCAATGTTGACAGTATAAACGTATAATAAATATATGACAGCCGTTATATTGGAGGCAGTCATGAGCTTAACAGTACCAGAAAAATTGAGTGGGCCTGAAATGAACCAAGATGTACGTCAATCTATACTAGAATTGATTATGGCAAAAAAAGAACCAAGCAACGAGCAAAATAAAGTACAAACAAATCTGAACAGTTGATTATGGACCAAAGAAATCAGTTCCATACATCTATAGCTCTGAAGGATGACGTTGCATTCTTTCTGTTCCATTAATCAAGCATCAGTTAAAAATGTATGCACCTTAAAGATTAAAAGATAAGATAACCTTATGGACCAATGAAATCCGTTCCATACTTCTATAGCTGTGAAGAATAACTTTGCATTCTTTTTGTTCCCTATATCAAGCATCATTTAAAAACTGTGCCATGAAAATACAGGGATTTATTTTAAAAATTAGATATCTAAGAGCTGCCTTAATAAGTTTTCCTCATACTATTTATCATTATTCATGTATTAAAATTACTGTCAGAATCACTTTAATAGCTATTGCTAAAATGGCTACTATCACTATTTTTGGTTTTCAAGTGAATTTGTAAGTTTAATACTCTTCATGGGAAAAAGAATTAAGTAACCTGGAATAGCGAAGGTTGATTTTAACAAAGCATCAAAAGAAAAATGATACGCTTTTCACTAACTTGGACGGGCGCACAATCATACGTGCAGAGAGTACCTTACAATGAATTCATATCAGGAAAAACAGAGGAGCGGGGGAGTGAGTGATGGTTAGTTACAAGGGATATTAGAAAAAGCATATCGACTATGTACCAAAGTAAATTTATTAATACATGGATGGCTGACTGTGAGTTTATGCTAGGCAATTAGCAAAGGTAGAGCCAGAGTTTCAACAATCTAGGAGAAAGGAAATTGAGGCTGTTCCAATCAGTAATTGTAGCTTATGATTATGAGTCCTTAAACTGAAGGCCAACACTAAAAAATTTGAGGGGAACTATGAACAGTATCCTTACCCCAGGTTTCAATCCTTGGCTCATTAAAATGGATTTATGAGATACAATACATGCAGACATGTGCTCACGGACAAAAAAGAGAGCTCATAACTGCATCTTATGTAACATTGAATACAAAAAACATTTCAATAGGAAAAAAATTAACTAAATGATGCAGTGACCACTTCAAAGAGTGATTACCTGCAAAGGGGAGTCTCCAGATGCAGCCTTAACACCGGTTACAGAGCACCCCATGATTAACCCATGTCGACGAACTCCACGATACCATTTAGGGCCTATCCTTTTGAGCTGTACATCCTTAAATCCAGCCTTTTGAAACCACTCGATGTACTCTTCCTCCTTAGGGAAAAGCATCCAAACATCTGCAAAGAAGCGAGACAACCAAAAAGTAGGATACACAGGACCAATTAAGCAGGCTTTTCCTCCTAGTTTCAACACCCTGTATGCTTCCTTGATGCCCCTTTGTGGGTCTGGCCAGTACTCTATGCTGAAAGACGTGATAGAATAATCCCAGTAAGAGACATTATCAAGTTACTATCTCCCCCGTTCTCCCATCTTAAATTCAAAATAAATCATCCAGGCAAACTAGCTAGCAAATAAGCAAATCTACCATATTTTTATAAGTGTACTCCGGGATGCCCCAATTGACAATATCTTTTACAACCATTAATATGGAAATTGTAGAATTTAATGACTACTGACAAAAAGGGGCAAGCACCAAAAAAGAAAAAGAAAAGAAAACAATTATGGACTTATATTTACTTCTATATATTTGCTTTAATACCAGTAGTATGTCAATTATCAACAGCATATCAAAGACATATCGAAGAGGGAAGAAAAATAAAAGCAATCTATAATGACAAGACCAATTAAGCGATCATGCACAACAACCAACCATAAAACGACCAAAAATTTTACATCTTATTGTGAGAACATATAATTGGTGCATTTCAAGCAAATATAGATAGTCCCAATAACGCCAAAAGGGTTGGAAAAATATACCTGCCAGCAGACACATATCTATCCGCATAATCAGTAGGAAAGGGGAGATCTTCTGCATCACCTTCAATTATCTTGCACTCCTTTAGAGGTTCCTTCTGCTTAGCCTTGGCAAGCTGGTGCGGAGATTGGTCAAGAATTGTAACATTCTTAGCATCCACATGCTTAACAATACCCAAAGTAGTGAAACCAGTTCCACCACCAACATCTACGACTATCATGTCCCTGTTATTGAGATCAGCTGGCTCAAGTGCATCATCTCTCATGTCTTCAGTCCAATGACCAGGGTTTATCACATGGTCATAAACAATTGAGAGGAATCTGTAGAACCAAAAAGCCTCCTTTTTGTGTTGTATGAATCTTGGTTGTGAAGCTGGCCTTGATGCTGATAAGCTGCATTTTGTGGTCATTGTTGTTCCTGGCCTGGAGATTCTTGCACTAGAGACTAAACCCACACTGGAAAAGTGTTTGCCATGAAAACCTGACCCCAAAAAACCAATCCTTTTGGGGGTTACCCCTCTCATGAGAGTGAAGTTTTCTGCTCCATTGAGCATGGAAGAAGCCATAGATTAGGCAAACCAAAATTACCCACAAATTAAAAAGATGCAATCTTTAGTTGAAGTTGAAAGATTTGGGCAACTACCAACTATCAAGATAAATACCCACCAGCCAAATCTAATGGTTGGTTCAGCTATGGATTGGGGTTGGCCTATTAATCAGGTCAAGACCATAGAGTAGAATGAGCTTGCAAAACGCTGGGTAAATATAAGAACAAGATTGCACCAAGGAAGTATAATATTTGGTTAAGACTTGAGTTGAGGGAGTGTGTCAACCGACACCACTGGATTTGGACTGGGCTCTGAAGGATTCAGTCCAAAGAAATAAAATTATTGGCTTTATTTCTTTTAAGGGTTTGTTACTTTGCTTCAATTATGTATTTATGTTTGTGACATTTGTGACAAGGAATTAATGGTTAAAACGCTGAGAAATGAGAACCAAACACATAAATAAATAATAAAAGGAAGACAGCAGACAGCTATATGTCTATTGTCGATCGTGGACTCTTACTTTCGTCTTTTAATTGCTAACAGTCTGTCAGTCCTCAGGAATCAGGACCACGCATTCAATTTTGTTTCTTAAAAAGTACTATAATACAAATATAGACTTCCTTTTCATGATTTCAATTTTTATCTCTTTGGGAAGACGTTTCTGTAGCGAAGAATTGGTTTGGGTCTGGAAAGACAAGGACTCAAGGGCCATGGCCCATGGCCTCTTCCGACTAACTCATTTAATTTAAATTGATTAATGAAGCTTGAAATAATGCAAGGACAATCCATCCGCCGCACACACTAATAGAAATGGTATTTGATTTGATTTTTTTAATATTATATAATATTATACAAATTTAAATTTTGATTTGATTTTAAATTAAATTTTTATTTAATTTGAATGGAGTTAAATTTTATTAATTTAATTAAATTTGATTTATTAGTTTTTAATTTTTTATTATTTAATTATTTATATATTATTTTAATATAAAATTTTAATATATTTAAGTAAAATTTGATATAAAATTATTAATTTTATTTTATAAAAACTTAAAATATATATAAAAATTAAGAAAAATATATAATTCAATTGATTTTTTTTTATTTTTTATCTTTCAATTTAAAATTTAATTCGACATAATATATATTTAATATTTAAATTTAATTTAAATCAAATAAAAAAATCGATTCATTTGAAGCAGAATATTATAATTTAAACTAATTTTAAAATTTTTTTCTTTTTCTTATTTATCACCCTACCACTCCTTCGTTTCTCTATTTCTCTTGAGGTGTCCTTTTCCATCAAATCAAAAATACTTTTATTTCGGTCTTATTTTTTATATAATTATATTAAGTAAAATTATGATTAAATTTTAATAGTTATACTATTTTTTTTTCAATTTTCAGAGCTAATTAGATTTCTTTTTAGTAAAACTAAATTATTCATGGCTATATGTTGGGTTAGATTTGAGACGTCGATTATCCATTTAAAAAAAATGTTAACACTTGTAATAACAGTAGGTTCTTGTTGTTTTTGAGATTGAAGAAGCACAAAATATATCCCAAAGAGTTTGTATGGCATTCGTTAATACTACATTTTATCAGGAAAATTCTTGTACGGTGTCATCTTCCCTCATCTTTGGAAAATGTGTGATAATGTAATAAGGCAAGGAAACCAATCAGTCAAACTTTATTTATGGGTAATATAATCTACTGGAAAATGTGTATTATAGTGGAGATGTCCTTTTCGTTTTTAGTTTTTGGGTTCAAAAGGGGAATAAGACGAGACTTTTGTATATGAAATTGTAAAGAAAATGCTCCTTTTTTTTTTTTTTTTGGATTGAATGCATAAGAAATATTGACACATACTATCACCCGGGTAATGACATTCTACTTTTAAAACAACATGGAAAGAGGGTTGTAGCACAATTGATCAACGACTAGGCACACTTCCGAACCCAAAAATGGGCAAAATCACTGGATTTTGCAGCTCAACAGTGTTCGTTTCAATGTTCAAGAGTCCCAATCTTTTCTTCCATTTTAGTTTTTACCTTCAGTATCTCAACTTCTCATGGATTTGTTGAAAAATGGGGGCGGGGGATTTTGATCAACATTTGTTACCGAATTCAGATAAGACAAAGTTCATTGAAAGCAGCAAATATAATATTTTAAACACAAAACAACGTCTAATGAATTTGTTTCTCATATACTAGACTCTTTGAAAGTATCATACTAGTAAATCCCAACTAGGCTCCAACCAATTCTCGTCGAGAATTCCATTGCTCAGCCTTGCTTCCGTTGGATTCCCCGTCGTATCATGAAAAACTAGAAAAAAAAAAACACGTCACATTGTAACTTCTATTTTTAAGACTTTTATGAATCTTATTCTCTTGATCACTCTCAAAATGGCACATTTAGCCCTTAAGGCAACAGTCTACTAACTTACCCAAAGATAAATACACTAAGGGGATTGATGTATTTTCGCAATTGCGCCGGCTAAGACAACAAATTTACAAAAAAATAAAAAAAAGGGGACGTTATCCAGGCATGTTAGAAGAAGTTTACAAGTCTCTCCTCCTAAGAACTAGCTCTATATAAGCTTCTCCCTCTTCCCTTCAATCCTGACTGTGCTTTGCATCTATCTATTAATTACTGTAAAACCAAACTCCGAGCTCTCAAACCTTACCAGACCCAAATGTTTCTGCCGGAGAACTTGGCCCCTGATGAGGCAAGCCCAGAATGGTTGAACAAAGGTGACAATGCGTGGCAGCTTACTGCAGCTACCATGGTGGGCCTCCAAAGCGTTCCAGGTCTTGTAATCCTGTACGGGAGCATAGTGAAAAAGAAATGGGCTGTGAACTCAGCCTTCATGGCCCTTTACGCCTTTGCCGCGGTCCTTGTTTGTTGGGTCGGGTGGGGGTACCGAATGTCCTTCGGGGACAAGTTCATTCATTTCCTAGGAATGCCCAATGTTTCCTTGGACGCTCAGTATCTCATCAAGCAGGCCTTTCTTGGCTATTTACCGAATGCAACCATGATCTACTTCCAGTTTGTGTTTGCGGCTATCACGTTGATTCTGGTAGCTGGAGCATTGCTTGGAAGGATGAATTTTCTTGCATGGATGTTGTTTGTGCCACTGTGGTTGACATTTTCCTATACTGTAACTGCCTACAGTATTTGGTGCCCCGATGGGTGGCTATCTAAGCATGGCATTATTGATTATTCAGGAGGGTTTGTTATTCATTTAGCTTCTGGTGTAGCTGGTTTCACCGCAGCTTACTGGGTAATTACCATAATAATTACTCAATGATTAATTAAAAAAAAAGCTAGTAATATAGTAGTACCACTTGATTACTTGTGTAAAAAATTTGACTTGAGTAATCAAGTCTAATTGTTTTATATATTGGTGAAGGTTGGACCAAGAGCGACCAGGGACAGGGAGAGGTTCCCACCAAACAACATCCTGCTGATGCTGGCAGGGGCTGGTCTACTTTGGATGGGATGGACTGGTTTCAACGGTGGTGATCCGTATACTGTCAGTACGGATGCATCGTTAGCCGTCCTTAACACCCACGTCTGCACTGCAACAAGTCTATTGACATGGCTCATGCTTGACATTATTTTCTTTGGAAAGCCCTCCGTGATTGGAGCCACACAGGGCATGATCACTGGTTTAGTTTGCATCACCCCTGCAGCAGGTAAAAACCACGAACCACGGTAATATTTTCACGATATTAGCGATAGATGCATCAATAGCAATATTATATATCTATTTATACTAGAATATCATCTGCCTATTCAACTAAGTGCAACTCGATAATTAACTAGCACAAATTTTATGATCCTGCCTAATGCATGCTTACAGTCATTAGCAAATTTTTTTTTTTTTTTTTTTGTGTTGGTTAGGAGTGGTGCAAGGTTGGGCAGCAATATTGATGGGAATAATGTCTGGTAGCATCCCATGGTACACCATGATGGTCCTGCACAAGAGGATATGGCTCCTCAAGCAAGTTGATGACACCATGGCAGTGTTCCACACGCACGCGGTAGCAGGCAGCCTAGGAGGCATCTTGACTGGATTGTTCGCGGTGCCTAAGCTCAACCGACTTTTCTACTTAGTAGATGACTGGGAGCACTACATTGGTCTTTTCTACGGATTCCAAACCGGGCGCACCACAGCAGGGTTCAAGCAGTTGGGAATTCAATTGCTAGGAATCTTATTTGTAGTGACCTTCAACATAATCATGACTAGTTTGATATGTTTTTTGATCAATCTGGTGGTTCCACTGAGATTAGCTGAGGACGAATTGCAAACTGGGGATGATGCAATCCATGGGGAGGAAGCTTATGCACTGTGGGGAGATGGGGAGAAATATGAATCTAAGCTGAATTCTGTTTATGAAGAGTTCCCACCACCCACAAAAGGTGGTGAGGTACAAATGGCCTGATTTGAACTGATGGTGCTTATTAAAGACAATATTGTGGGGAACCCAATGCTTTGTCTGAATGTTTCCACTTTCTTAGTGTTTTGTTCTTTTGTCGTTTCTTACTACATACATTTCGGGAGGAGGAATTATAGCTTGCAACTGGTTGGAAGATATGAATTTGATAGTGTACACCACTCATCGATAGAAATAAGAACCTTACCAATCTTCACTCTTGAATTTCTTGTTGAATGCAATCATTTTTTGTCATTAAACTTTGCTTTTGCTGTTCGGCTTTCGGCTTGGATTTTTCTACTCAATTCATATCAGCAATATTTTTCTGCTATTTACAGTCCCAAAAATATATATATCATACTTCTACATCTTGACATTGTCTATGACACCAAATTGTCTCATTCTTTGTTCAAGTAACAAAGAAAAAGGAAGTTATACCGATCAAACAACCTTTAGTTGAAAATAATAAAATAATAAAAATTAATTAATTATTAAAATAATTATCAGTTTGACATAACAAACCCCGTTAAGAATATGAACGTGATATGAAAGGAGGTTAGAATGGTCTTTTCAAGTTACTAAGAAAAGAGAATAGAAAAATTCTCCGTTTTACAAATATTATTTTATTATTTTATCTTATTTTTTTTAATTGCGGCAGAGAAATCGAAAGGAAAAGAAGAACAGCTTTCGAAGAAAACAGTAAGGAAGAAAAGTCGCTTATTTGTTCCGTTTTCAGAGTGAAAGGAAAAAAATAAAAAAATCAACGAATAAAATAAAAGATCAAAGCTGTGTACGGAAAACTTCAGATCTGCAGGTTTAAAAGACTTGGTTACTTTAATTATGCAATGAAAATTCCAAATTCCAAAAAAATAAATTAAAGAAATGAAATATTGAAATGATCCGCATCGTTTTGGAATGACCAACTGGCATAGAATTTGAATCTTTCCTCTAGCAGCCAGGCAAGCGAGCAGCAATGGAGTCAGAAACGGCGTCGTCGGCGGAGGAACAGCAAGCGGCTGGTTCAGCAGCTGATACCAGAGGCAAGCATCGGATTCTTGCTGAACTCAAGCGTGTCGAACAAGAATCCAGTTTCCTTGAGGTCATCTTTTTTTCATATTTCATATTTCTGTTTTGTTTTTTTTTTTTTTTGTCTTTTTCCTTTAGATTGTTCTTGTTTTCAGTTATTTTTTGCTCTGTGTATTTTTTGGAAATGCAGTTAAAAGAACTTTGTTTGTATTTTGATAAATTTAAGGATACAAAATAAAAAAAAAAGCGGAGCTTGAACTGAATTAACCTTGAGGAAAGGTCTTGGAATATACCAGGATAAGAAAGGCCAGATTTTGCTTTCCTTTTGTAAACTTTTCATAAGCTTTTCTTTTTCTAGAAAATTATTATTACCATATCCAAATGGAAGCAAAATTTTCGGGCTTCTTGCAAAGCTGTTAGCTTTTGTGTATTGTTTGGATAATCCATGTAACTGATGAGTTGAGCTATGTCGCGGAAGGAGGTGGTGGTTTAGAGCCATTGGAAGAGAAAGATAAGATCATATGCTTCAAATTTAATGGGAGGAAAATGATTCAAGGTAGATCTTAAAATTGGGTGGTTAATAGTTTTCTTACTACTTACGTGGGATCCCAATTTAATAGGCTTTTCATTATTTTTTGGATGTTATGCTGGACTACTGTAACTGTAATCTTTTTGCAAAATTGTAATCCTTGGACTTGCAAAAATCCGCCAGGGATATCGCAGATATGCTCCTTTCATCAGGGTATACTGATGTTTAGGAAGTCTCTTTTGGAGGCAGGACGAAGTTCCAGATCAGTCATGTTATGGCCGCTCTATATGGGATGTGCTAAACTTTCTTTCTTTGTTTCTTTTTCTTTCTTAAATTCATTGATGAAATCATCTTGAGTTAGTCTTTTTGGCACCATAAACACCATAAACAGAATGTCGTCAATCTTGATTGCTTCCAATATGTTACTATGAATAATTAAGGCAATATTCAGTGCTTAAAGTGCTGATGCAGTCTCTATATCATGGCAAAGTTGAATTAGTATTTGACTTGCTGATCCTGTCAAATAAAGAAGATTTTAATGTAGAAAAAAAAATTCGTAATAAAGAAGTTTTTAGCAATGTTATGCACCTGCACCACATAAAGCCTCTCTCTGTTGGTTGCTATTTGCCTTTGATTACATTATCCATTACCACTCCATAGAAATAGAGGTGAATATAGAATCTATGAGTATCAATCATGCATTTACTTTGGACAAAATTTTATAATGCTCCTTTGTTTCTAGGTTGGTTTGATATGAAATTATGTGTACTATAACTAGGCATACCTAGAAATGCCTAACTATTAACTAGCCAGCATGCCTGCAGATTTTAAAATTCATGACTAGCCTAATTGGTATGGAATTGTAGATATAATTGGCTTATAGACTTTGGTTTTGTCCCGTTGCATTTTAGCCCATCTTTACTGCTTTCTGAGGCTGATGATGATTTCAGCATTTATATCAATGATATTTGTTCTACTTTGAGCAATGTCATAATTTAGTGATTCAAAAAGATGATGTTTTAATGAAAGGTACCATATTACGGTTTATAATGTCTTATTCTTTGTCTCTTCATGTACTTTTTCCAGGAAGAGATGGAAGAACTTGAGAGAACAGATAATGTATCAACGTTGTGTGAGGAGTAAGTATAAGAAATAAGTTTTCTTCCTATGAACTTGCAAAAGTAGTAAGTAAGAGGGGCAGGAGGGAGAGGGTGTTGGAATCTAAAAGATTATCATTTATCATTATATTTTCCAAATCCCTGAAAGAGGAGATCCACAAATCCTTCTCTTTCTACCAACAATCTTTTGAGATGGTGGTCTTGACCAGGATTTGTTGATCTAATTAATTACTAGCTCATTCATCTGTCATTATGCTTCTCACAATTGGCACTCACATGTCAGTTTGTCAGGCATGATGCTTGTCGCACCTAAGTTGTATGGTAACTGGTTTGATTGGGACTAATATCTGTCTTTTTTTGCCCTCAGATTGCTGCTTAGCATGGAGACAAGACCTGATCCACTACTCCCAGTGTAATTACAACAACATGTGTTGTTCTCGTATTTTCTGTTTTAGATAAAGTTGTTTTTACCTCTAAATCTTGGGTTTATTCTGATTACAGAACACATGGCCCTATAAACCCATCATGGGATAGATGGTTTGAAGGGCCCCAAGACCCCCAAGGTTGCAGATGCCAGATTCTCTGATTTGAAGCAATCTAATGCCAAGATATGTTAGATAACAGACAATGTTAACATGCTACATATCAAATAGTTATCTTAACAAATATTCAATTGACAGTTTCCACAGTGTGCAATAACAAAATTTTTGGATAGCTCAAATTGAATGTACAATTTACTTTTTATGTTCGGGTGAAATTTGTATATCAGATACATCATCTACTGCAGATATGAGCGCTTCCAAACAGATCATGGTTGTGCTTGTTTTGCCCTTCTATTTCCGTTTTGGGGTGTAGCCGCTTCCCCGAGTTATTTCCACATTTTACATTTCTCTCCATAAGAGCCAAATAATGAAAGGCCAAAAGAGGGTTTGCAAAATCATACAATTACCGTGAGGAATTAGCAAAACGATGATATGGGTGTAAATGAATGCATCTCTGAAATCTATTCATGAAATGAAAATCCATGGTATTAACTTTCAACTCATATTTATGTAGTTATTTCAGTAGAAGCTGCTTTCCTCTCGCACGAAAGTTAAGAAAGCATCACAGCTGGAGCACTGTAATGATTACTTCTATATGCATCAGGCTTTCGGGCATCAGCAAGCTGGGAGTGAAATAACAAAAACTCAGAATAAGAAAAAGTTATTTCTACATATGATCGATATTACAAAAACAAAATCAAATACAGAAATTTATTCAGTCAAATCACCTTTATGAGACGTGAATTGCTGTTATTGGCTCTAAAGCATCAACAAGTAAAACTCAATTCCTCAAAATAATTTACACGTTATATACACTCGGAAGGTTAAGGTCATAAGATGCCACCTGCAAGAGATTTAGCTGCAATAGCTCACAGATCTCAACACTCTCCATGGTTGAGCGGTTAAGCCTCAAACCAATTAAATCCATTCACTTGGCAAGAAACAGAGACATAAACAACATCACAGAACTTGAGCAGACAAAAGGTGTCTCAGCTGGAGTAGGTGCTCCTCATCTGAAATGTTAAGGGAGAGGCGGAGATTTGTTAACAAGGACTCCTGCTCCCAAGTTAAAGGACCTGAAGCATACAATGCCTCCACGGTTGACTTGTAAGCATGAAGTTCTAGTTCATGGACATCGACAACTATGTCAACAGGGGACAAGCGTAAGTCTCTTTGGCCACACAAAGAAGGGAATGAGGATTCAGCATCAGAATTATCAGGTGTATTTTCTGATGATTTATGAGAAATTTGGCCAGCATAGTTAGCAACACCGTTATAACTACAGCTAGCAACTGAGCATTGGTCACTAACTTCAGTAGACCAAACAGGCCTAGAAGAATCAAATAAACAGTGAGGAGTTTTGTCTTCCATTCTGTTATTCCTGTTAGTTGAATGCTTAATGAATTTTTCATCAACCCCTATATGTGGGCAAGAAATATCATCTACCTGTTTAAACAAAGGAAGTGCTCCCTTAAGAGTTTCATCACAGCCTCTAGAACAAGGAGGTGATTTCCTTTTCTTGAGGGTTCCTCCAAAGAGCGGATCCATATTGCAGTCTTCAGATTGATGGGCATGGCCTCTACTTATGGCTCTCATGCACAGACACTTGGTGACATTATCAGCCCCACCGTCATGTTGTCCCACTCTATACTTCCTTCCAGATAGTAAAGTTTTGCTTCTATGTAATGAAGTCTTCAAAAGCAAGCCACCAGCATGGTATGGAATTTTTGGTGTAAAATTGTTGGCTAAGTCTTTACCCTTGGCAACCTGCAATCACATTTAGTCTGGTTTAGATATATAGGTAGGATCAGATCAACACATCTGCGAGGACTTATTATACGAAGTTTGTTCTTAGGTTCTCTCCTGATATCAACTTGTAAAAGCTACTATGATTACAATAACAGTAAGGATAAACTTCTCCTAGCCAGTTCTTGAAATAAGCCAGCTAAGCCAAATGGTACTTGCCCTCAAGGCCTCACTGATAAGAGTTGGATTTTACATCACAGCTCATTGAGCAAAAATAATGTATTCAGAAAGAAAGGCAGTCATATCATCCTAACAATAATGCCAGTAATTTCTGTGAATGACTTCTATAGATAGGAATATAGAAATTAACCATTGACTTCTAAGAGATCTGGATGAAATGATCAAACGTTCACTTTTTACCAGTTGAAAGTACAGAGTGGCCAAATAAAGAACTTAGGTTTCTCTAGAGATCATCACTCGTATATGTATTTGGAAGACAATCATCAACCAGGAAAATTCTTAAGACATTCAAAGCATCTAATCATTAGTGATCTCATAAACTGTTGACAAGAAAATGCCTTTCCACAAATTTTAAAACAAAAAACAATTGCAACATCACTCTGGGTTTTCTCACTAATGAATTAGTAGTGATTTTTTCCATTTTGATAGCTATCTTGTTTTCTATTTTTATTATTCTGTTGAAATAGCTTTTGCAATGAAATCATTAGTAAAAGTAATATTTCACTTCAAAACTATGTAAAGGACAATGTATTCATACATATTTGAAAGTAATATGGTTAGAAGGTCTTTTCTCAAATATGTTCAAAAGGATTTATCATGAGTTATGCTTGCTAGAAAGAGAACTCTACTAAATTTAAAGAAAATAGATCTTTTGATATAAAACTCCAAAGATAAACATTTAGGAAAAGAGAACTCAGGGCGAAAGAATGATGATGAATATAAGCCATTACCTTCCCAATCATCATCCACTTATTGCCATGCCAAGCCTGCCTAATCCTTAAACATGATGCATGAAATTCCTTAAGTTGGATGGACCCAAAGAACTTAATGACAAATCGATCATTGTTCTTTGACACCTTTGCGACCTTTCCCACCTTCCAACACTGAATATCAAACACCTCAGCCATATCACCAACTGCCCAACTCTTCCCATTTACACTTGGAGGCAGGGGTCTAACATCCTTCCCCTTCACCTTCTCCACCACTTGTTTTCTTTCTTGGTCCATAAGCAGTTTGTACCTAACAATATAGTTGTCACCATCTGATGAAAGTATATTACCAGTAAACCAGGAGCCACACGGATCATGTTCTTTTCTTAAAACCTCCACCAAGTTCCCTTTTCTGAACTTCATAATTTTCAAACTCTAATATGCTCAAGCCTGGATAACAAGAGTAAAAAGGAAAACAGGATTAATACCACTTGATTCCAACAAGATTTGAAAACTATGATATCTGAAGGTGTTAATACAAGGATCAAGATGGATGCTTGCAAATCTATGGTGTGAGACTTCCATCTTGACATAGCAGATCTAGGGGTGACTCGTTAAAATTAAGTGCTAGAAAGACACAAAATTGTGAAACTTCTCGACTCAATTCAGCTACAAGACATGGAATCTTCATTTTTAAAAGATAAAATCAGTTTTCTACAAGAACTCTTTGTATCAGGGAAATGAAACTGGTTAACAGATACATAAACAGAGATCTAAACAAATTTAAATTAATTAATTAAAAACAAGTATCATTATGGGCACTTAAAAATAAGATTGATGAGACAAACAAGGACTCTCAACACCAAACTCAGATGAACTCATCAAAACCAGTTTTTCTTGACAGAGTCAAATCAGCAAATAAGCTTCATAACTACTCAAAACCTCAACCAACCCATGTTGTAGCAATCCTCAAAAAACCCAGAAATAAAATCCAATTTCTATTTGTTTTATCTCTTAAAAAAATAAAACACAAATAATTCCAAAAAACAATACTTACCCAGAATTTAAAATCTTATAAATATAAACCATACCAAAAACCATTAAACAAAATTAGACTGACCCATATAGAAATTACAATGGACACAGAATTCTGTTCAATTCAAAAACTTTTAATTAATTGAACGAGACTGACCTGAGAGTAAAGGAGAAGAAATGAAAACGAACAGGACGCAGTTCAGTTGCGGTCATGACCACATCTTCACGCAAAAATGGCGTATTTGCTCTCTCTTTTCATTATTAATTTAATTTAAGTACTACAAAAATAAAATAAAAATTAGTAATTAGGATTACCTTGGTTTTTGATAGTAACTGAAACCCATTTTCGAGATTTTGGTATTTATCATGTAATCTGTCCCCTTCGGGGTCCTGCCTAATTGCAATTACGGGGACCATTCCTTTATATTTTTCATAATCTGCTAATTGATATTGTTGCGTTTACCGAATCTTCCTCCTCCATCTAATGGTGAATGGTCCCTTTGCCATGTATAATTTCATCGATTTGGACAAAATCTCTGCCATGTCGGACCTTACACTTCATGACAACCTAAGAAATCATGTGATTTATATTACCATTAAAAATGTCATTAACTTTCTATACCATTTTTTGTTGTTGAACAATTTCAAAATGACTTTTTTAAGGAAAAAAAAAACAATTTTTAAATGACTCAACTTAAACATTTGATTTTTTTTTTTAATTGAAACAATTTGTTTTCATATTTATCTATTTCCCCGATATGCTCCATTTGTAGTGATCTTTCCCATGCCAATTTGCAATTTCCAAACAAATACTAAACACTTAGGCTTCCATTTTCACATTTATGGATTTTTTTTTGCTTTATTAAAATTGAATTTCCAAAGCCTTAGAGATAAATGATCATCCTTAACCAAACTTAATAGAATTTGATGAAATCCTACTTCCTGTAATAGGAAATAATCCCATTTATTTTTTTATCATTAATAAACGTTGTTGTTACCACCGATTTAAATTTGTTATAATATATATATATATATATCAATTGACCAAATTTGTAAAATTATAAAAATTTTGGTTAACGATATATATATATATATATAAAAAAACAATGGTTACTAGTATAAGATATGCTTTTTATTTAATACATTATATTCACCAAATTTGTTTAGAACAATGCATTATGTATGCAATTTTTCTATAAACATTATCTTAACTAATATCATTAGAAATGCACCACATAACATTTAAAAGAATCTTTTTTTTTTTCGGTTACAAAGAGAGAGCAACAAGGATAAGATATTACACTCTTCATGCATCTCTAAAATAATAACGCTGACAAAACTTCGAAGAAGATTAAAAACTTTCATAATCCACATTCATCTCATAAGTTGATTTTAACGAAACATCAATTCAAAAATTACCTTCTCTTCATATATATTGAAAAATATACAATAATGATTGTAAATATTCTAATTAATTTGAGCTCAAATCCATTAGATCTGGTCCAATAGGGTTTGAATCTAAATCATTAGGCTTGGTCCAACGAGTAGTAAGTTAGCCCAATTTTTTTTTATTGGTTATTCTGAAATTTTATTTAAATTGTTATTTAAAGAAATAATGATTAAAATTTAAAAAAGGAATAATAAATAAAATAAAATAAAAAGATTTTGTCGATTTGTGGCAGAATCCTGGATGGACTCAATCAGTATAGGATATGTGAAATCCCATCAAATCGTGGACTTATAATAAAAAAAATTATTTTATAATTCAGCTTATAAATATAGGCTTGAACAGAATAGAAACACATGAGGTAGAGAAAATAGAAGCAAAACAATGAGGTGTTTAGAAGGATAAGAGCAATTTTAGGAATTGTAGGATTTGTTTTTTTTTTAATTTTGGAAGTTTATTTTATGAAAATTTATGAAAAATTTTCAGATTCCAGAGAAAATTCTAACAAAACTTAAATTTGTCAACAAATTTTTCCAACTTTTGGCCGTCTTTCCCAGTTTTCGATGAAGCATTCAACTGAAAATTTAGAATTTTAGAGAGAAAGGGAAAGAAAATAAACGAGAAAAGAGAGAGGGGAAAAAGAATTATGCTAAAAAGGCTGAGATTTAGTCTTATATACCCATTAAAAACGACATCGTTTTACGTTTAAATAAATCTCAAGATCCGCATGTTTTTTAGCAGGCGACTCAACTCACACATCAACCTGCTTATGTGAATTTAGATTTTTAGCTAGAACTGTTAAATTTTATATGGATGTTCAATCCATATCTCAAATTAATTTACATTTAAGGACAATGTACTCATTGAATATCATGTGTAGGGATGATAAATTATCTGTGGGATATAAACTTCGTATCATAGTAATAACACATCTAATACGGAACATGGCTTACATATGACATCAAAGTAGACACATCACCTATGTAAACAACCACATCAACACCCATGAAACATAAAAGGGAGTTCATAAGAACAAGCATGCAGTTACTCCACTCCATATTGCTCTATTCTTTTCTTCCAAGTGTTTCTTTCCCATTTCTTCGTATACGCCTTAAAATCTTAACTCTGACGTTCTCTGACCTTATCTTTCACAAGTTTAATAAGTTTATCAGTTCAATCTCCAGCAAGTCTTGCTTTCATCTAGCCTAAAAATACCTTATCAATTTGGCATCTTATCAGGACTATCAAACGAGTAAGATTTGCATCTTTACGACTTTCAGGCTTGAAATTCATTGGCTAAATTAAAATAGTAGAATCAATTCTTTTAAGCAAAATAAGATGGCAAGGCAATATTTAGAGTGCTAATATTTTTCACTTGACTTGAGCAAGTTCAATAAAGCCTCCAAAGTCTAGGAAGTTGTCAATGACTTTTATAAGAACCCCTTTCTTTTTCTTCCATTGTGGGGAGCTCTTAATTTACATCCAATCCAAACCTAAGGTGGACAAAATGATTTCCACAGTTTACAATGTGCAAAAACAAAAGATGACTGGAAACCCTGGTAGTATCTTTTGACCTACAAAAGAAAAATGTCAGGCTATGGAGCATGGGCTGATCATGGCTCCAAGAACCAGAGAGGGCCATCCCCAAAAATTTTTTTGAAAGCCCCAACTATATATATACATATATATTAATTTATGTTTTCAAAGTCATGGTGCCTCTATTTAGATGAGCAATTTATTTTTTTGAAGTTGTGGTGTCTCTATTTAGATAAGCATTTTTATTTTGCAAAAGTTGTGGTGCCTCTATTTAAAGGAGCATTTATTTTTTCAAAGTTGTTGAGCCTATGTTTAGAGGAACTTTGTTTAAAAAAAAAGAAAAAAAATGAAAAAAAAAAAGAATGTGTTGGGATGATCGTTTACAAGGTGTCTATGTCTTTGCATAATTTATGTTACACAAGAAATGCACAAAGAGGGGCAGCTCTAGACACTTTAATTAGTTTAGGTCCAAGCTCATTGGGCCTGATTCAATAGGGTTTGAGCCTAAGCTATTGGGTTGGTTCAATGGGGGGCAAGTTGGCCCAAAATTTTTTTTATTGGTTATTTTGAATTTTTATTTTAATTGTTATTTAAAGAAATAAGGATTAAAATTAAAAAATGGAATAATAAATAAAATTAAAAAAAAAAGTTCTATCGATTGGTGGTAAAATCTTGGATGAACTCAATCAGTATAGGATATGTGAAATCCCATCAAATTGTGGACTTGTAATCAAACGAAAATTTTCTTTTAATTCAATCTATAAATATAGGCTTGAATAGAACAAAAACACATGAGGTAGAGAAAACAGAAGCAAAACAAAAAGGTGTTTAGAAGGATATGAGCAATTTAAGAAATTTTAAGATTTTTTTTTTGAAATTTTGGAAGTTTTTTTTTCTGAAAATTTCTGAAAAAATTTCAGATTCCAACGAAAATTTTAGCAAAACTTAAATTTTTAATAACTTTTTCCAGTTTTTGATGATCTTTCTTAGTTTTTGATGAACCATTCAACCAAAAATCTAGAATTGTAGAGAGAAGGGGAGAGAAAACAAACGAGAAAAGAGAGAGGGAAAGAAAAATTATGTTGAAAAGGCTGAGATTTAGCCTTATATATCCATTGAAAACGACGTCGTTTTGCATCTAAATAAATATCAGGATCCGTGCATTTTCTAGCGGGCGACCCGACCCATGCGTCAACCTTCATCTGTGATCCGCGTTCCAGTCGAATCTCACCGCTGAGCCGAGCCGAGCCATACTCCCGAATCGCACCTTCTAGTCGCTTTCTGTGTCTGCAATCGAGTTGTTCTGAGCCGCTCTAACCGAGCCGTTTTATTTTTTTATATATTTTTAGGTATTTTTTTAGTATTTTGTTTATTTATTTTTATGTGTTTTTTTTAGTATTTTTTTCATTATTAAATTTAGAAAAAAATAAATTTGGAGAATAAATAATAATTATCCAATGATAAAATTTATAAATATTTTAAATAGTAAATTTTTATAAAATTCTTAGGTAAGAAATTTTATCTAAATTTATCATAAATTGTGGAATAATTTAGATAAATTTGGAGAATAAATAATAATTATCCAATGATGAAATTTATAGAAATTTCAAATGATAAATTTTTATAAAATTCTTAGGTAAGAAATTTTATTTAAATTTATCACAAATTGTGGAATAATTTAAATAAAGTTTCAATAAAAATAATTAATATTTATTTTCAAACAAAAAAAAAAAAAAAAACATAAAAATATAAAAATTTTGGAATTAAATACAAATTACCCAAAGATGAGGTTCTTAAAATTTTCAAATGGTAAATTTTTAAGAAATCTTTAGGTGAAAAATTTATTCTAAATTTGACCCAAATTGTGAAATAATTTAGATGAAGTTTCAATATAAGTAATTGTATTATTTTTTAATAAAATTTTAGTTGAAAATATGTGATAATTACTCAAAAATTATATTTTTAAAAATTTCAAATGGTAAATTCTTAAGAAATTTTTATGTGAGAAATTTTCT